TAAATTACTTTATAAGAATTTTATATTTCAAAATTTTTTAATAAAAAAATATTTTCCATTATGTGGTCTGTATTGAAAAATCTTCAAAATTTTCACAAATCCTCAGATGACTAAATATATATATATATAAAAAAAAAAGAAAGATCAGGTGTTTCTTTTTTGGTAAAAAGGGTCTGAAGGTGGGATTTTCGGATAGCATACATCTGAGCCACGGCCCATGGTTAAATTGTGTAAGTGAGGTGTTGGGTCCAAGTTCAACCCATATACAATGTTTAAATTGGCCTTATTAGCTTTCCAGTGTATTTCCGTCCAAGTGGATATTAAGTGAAAAATCAAGTTGGGCTGGGCCTCGAGAATCAGTTTCAAGCCCAAGCTTCTAAACGGCTGTCCCAACTAAAACTGCCCTTATCAACTTCCAGTCCCAACCACCGCGGAAAGACGTCCTCATTCCTCACACACTGCTTAAATGTCCACCGCTGCCTGCGCCGAGCCACCAGGGGCGCCTCCGCCTCGGCCGCCTCTAATTCCCTCACTCCCCGACGACGTGGCTTTGAATATCTTAGCACGAATTCCAAGATGCTACCATCCAACCCTCTCTTTAGTCTCCAAACAAATGAGGTCTCTGGTCTCCTCCCCTTCGCTCTACACCGCCCGTTCCCTCCTCCCCTGCACCCAGCATTTTCTCTACCTCTCCATCCGCTTTCGGGAGAGCCCTTCTCTCCACTTCTACACTCTCCATCAAGGCCCAACAAAAAATCCCAAAAATACCCTCATCCCGCTTCCGCCGATCCCTTCACCTTCCCTCGTGGGCTCCGCTGTCGCCACCGTGGATCACACGATCTATGTCATCGGCGGTTCCATCAACGATGTCCCTTCACCCCGCGTGTGGTCCCTTGATTGCCGCACTCACGCCTGGGAGCCCACCCCGAGCATGCGCGTCTCCCGCGAGTTCGCCGCCACTGGAGTCTTCGACGACAAGGTCTACGTCATCGGGGGCTGCGTGGTCGACTCGTGGGTACGGTCCAAGAACTGGGCAGAGGTTTTTGACCCGAAGTTAGGGGAATGGAATTCGGTTCCTAGTCCGATTGAAACCCGCGATAAATGGATGCACGCCAGTGCTGTTATCGACGGGAAGATATACGCGATGGCTGATAGAAACGGTGTGTTTTACGAGGCGAGCAGTGGGTGTTGGGGAGTGGCGGAGTCTGAGCTGGATTTGGGATGGAGAGGGAGAGCGTGCGTCATTGATGGGGTGTTGTATTGCTATGATTATTTGGGGAAGATAAGGGGGTATGATGCAAAAGAGGGAGCTTGGAGGGAGTTGAGGGGTGTGGAGAAGGGCTTGCCAAGGTTCTTGTGCGGTGCTACAATGGCAAATTTTGGTGGGAAATTGGTGGTGGTGTGGGAGGGCGTAGAGAGGGGAGGAAGTGGGAGTAAGAAGGAAATTGATGTTTGGTGTGCAGAAATTGAGGTAGAGAAGGGCAAGGGAGGAGAGCTGTGTGGAAATATCAAGTGGTGTGATGTTGTGCTTACTGTTCCTTCTGGCTCGTCTATTGTGCATTGCTCGGCAGTTACATTGTGAGGTTGTGTTTATTATGGCTGGTGTTCTGTTGGAGGTTAGATTCTTCCTTTGCCTTTTAGTTATTATATTTATTATAAAATCATGTGTTTGTTCTTGGGATTCTTGTAGTCTAATTGTGTTGGTTATTAGACTGATATCTCACTAGGCATGGAGTTTTATTGTTAATTGAAGAACCTAATTGGGGTTGAACTTCACTTTGAATATGGTGAATGTTTGATTGATGATAATTTTGAATATCCTTCATTTTATCTATAATGTGGTTTGGAAATTGTGCAATTTGTTATGCGTGCTTTTTAGGCTGTCCTTCTATGCATAGAGTAGTGGTTACATACACGCACTTACCAACTTTATAGTTTATTTGATCTGGTTTAAATCTTGAGTTATACCATTACATACATGTAAATGCTATTTATGTGCGTGGATCCTTACAACAGAGGTATAAAATAGGGGGATATGCCGTTTTATTTGCTTTATATCTGAAACTAGTCATGGTTGATCATGTATAAATTCTTTTCTGTTCACCTGAATTGAGGAAGAAACTTCTCTCTTCTCTATTAACTTTTTCTATTTGGAGTACCATTGTGAGGGTGCAAGGATTCAGTTTTATCATGGAGTGGGGTGAAGGTAAGGTGTTCAAATTCTGTGATAGTTTAGGGCACTAACTGATTTACCTCTAAAAAACGGACATGACTAGAAATTAAATATCAAGCTTGTCAACCCTTTGTCTCTTCCATCTCATTTTCTGTTAATGTTAGAGAAGAATTGGTAACGGCTTGACTAAGCTTTAGCTTTGCTGTAGGTTTACAATTTTAGGATCATGTTCATCTTGGAAATTCCATTTCTCAATTTTTCTGGCTCCCTCCTGGAGAATCATGTGGTCAAATACACCAAAAAATCAATCATTCACTTGTAATTCCATCTGCCAAACATGCAAGAGTGAACTTCACAATTTCAAGCTATTTACTTTATTGCTTTGTCAAATATTTATCTGGTTGTTGGTTCTGTTTAATAGCTGGAAAGACGCTGCATTGTTAAATTGTTTATATTTATTTCTGAATTCTGATTCAGTTATCTATCATAAAGATGGACGTGGAGGATTCGGGCTTGGAAACAGCCAGCAAACTTCAGATCCTAGCCCCATGACTTTGGTGTTAAGATGTCATCTGATGAAATCCTGCTGCTTTCTTATTGAGGATCCGGAAACATGTATCTCCAGATCTTGGTCAAGCCTACTCACTCAAACCTATTTATTAGAAGTTTATGGTGATTCTCATTATATGCTTTATGCAAAATAAAGGAGTCAGTCAAGTAGTGCTCCTTGTCTCCTTGTACCTGTGTATGCCCTTTGCAAATTGTGCTCTTTGCACTGCAAAACTAGCGAGTTACGAGCAACCTTGAAGAAACTTCTCACGTAAGTTGGGGCATATTTTAGTTGTACAACTTGTGACATCCTGATTTATGTACCTAAAGTTTGCAGTTACTCCACTCACGCCGAATTAAATGCATAGCTTGTGACACGATCCACCACTAAAACTTGAAACGTTGCACATGCGATGCCCAATTGCAAACAAAATCCAATCACATTTTTTTTGGCTTGCCTGAATTTTTTTTTTTTTTTGATCATATTTGTCAAGGGGCCGGCTAGAACCGTAGCCCTTAGGGGATGGGGGAGATGAACCTGGCTAATGCCACTTGGCCGATAGGCCAGGTTCGCTTGCCTGAATTTATAACATGCAATTGCAGCTATAAGCACAATTACAGAGAATTTTTAGGACCATATTTCGGAGCTTTCCCAAACTGTAACCTTGCAAAAACCGTCTGACCGCTCTTCCTATAAATAGCCCTCAATTTGTTCCAGCGTCTGTAGAGGGTAGACATTCCAATTAGCTACCAAATTAAACAAACTACAGAAGAGGCCTGCATTTTCTTTCTGTAAATTAGAGAGAGAGAGAGGGGGAGACCTCAATTGCTATAGCAGTTGGCGTGAGATTTGATACATCTGTATGACCTAGTTTGGCTGCAATATCTGCGAAATTGAACACTTATTGTCATCAAAGTATACTTGTGGATGATCTTTTTTGAAGAGTAAATTGAAACAATAAAAAATGGAAATCTTAAATTTTTGACAACTAGGCTGAAGCATGCATACTTTCTAAGGAAACCCTGGCATTCGCATTAGCATATGCTTCAACCCTTTCTTCATAAAGAGAGTATAAACGCTTCAGTGTCTGCAGCACATCAAGTGTCAAAAACTCAACAGGAGATAAATAGATCAAGTTTCCACAACGCTGAGTCCAAATAAAAAGATTAAATAACTTCAGCAATAGATTACCTTCATGTATGTATCACCTGATTCATGATGCAAAAGGGGGCGAGAACTGGTTCCTACTGCAGCAATTCTCTCTGCCAAGGCCTCCAAAGGTACATCCAACCAGACGCTAATTCCCTCACGCATATATTTCCTGATAAAACAAAAGAGGGCACTTGCAGATTTTTATTACTGAGGTTACAGAAAAGGGAAGAGAAGAAACTCTACTGTTATAATTACTGTATTCATTCATACCAGTTGATGGACCGTATGACTGCACCTCCACCAGTAGAAACAACAATATAACGCCTTAAAGACAGCCTATGCAATACCTCAGTCTAGAACATGAAAAAAATGGCTCTTCTTAATTATAAAGAAGTGTAGATTTATCAGCTAATTACTATAGTAACTAACCTCCTTATCTCTGAAGAAACCCTCTCCATAAAGCTTAAATATATCAGCTACAGAAGTTCCATCAACCTCCTGCTCCACTAATGAGTCACTGAAAATGTAAATTGCAGATACTTTTTAGCTAGAACTTAAATTAAAGAGCCTGTTTACTGGATAGTGGATACTATGAAGGAAAAGGCCAAACCCCTATTTACACCTTACACATTAATCTTTTTCATGGTCAACACCCTCCAGAACTTGAAATTCATAAAAAAAACCCTAAATTACTAACAAAATCAGGGTGCAAATAGGGGTTTGACTGTTAATTTTGTAGTTTTTTATAGGTTTTAAATTATAAAAGGTATTGACCAGAGTAAAAATTCTTGAGAGTATTAACGGTAGAAAAATATATAATGTGCAAGGTGTAAATAGGGGGTCAAAAAAGGTAGACATGCAGCAATGAGGACTACTTCCACAAGTAGTCAAGATTCAACTAAAAGTACTACATGCTGAAAGCAGACCTGATCATCATCAAATAGTGGAACCTCATCCTAACAAACAAGATGTACTACAATGGATGTACAATTTTCTATTTTACTGGGAAAATTGTTTTCACATTAACTAAGTGAAACCAGTGATTATGAGGAAATTAAATCAGAGATTTGGTACCTCACTAGAGTACATTAAACTTTTCCCTCATTTTTGGACTAGCCTATTGAGAATGAATATTTTTTTGACTAGATGAGCTTGAAAACACTGGCAATAATAGCACAAACCTATCAAAGAAGGAATAACCAAGTACTTGAGACAGAACCTGCCCCGCTGTTGTTTTTCCAGAGCCCATCATTCCTGCAATTATACATTCAAATAATTTACCCACTGAGGTAACCACATTGCCAAAAATCCAAATAAGAGAGATTGAGACAAAGGAAACTGACCAACCAGATATATTGAACGTCCATTTAAATATGGTTCAATCTCTTGAGACTTGTTCTGCAAAAATGTATTTTAGAATGATGTAATTTAATTCCATGCTCAAAGCTAGTTAGCCAAGTCTAAGGCCATATTTAATAAAAAGATATGCCAAAATCACTATGCAAAGAGAAAGAAAATAAGAGAAAAGTGACAGTAGACACTAATGAGCTCAAATTTAAAGTCCATGGATGGAATTGTTTTATACCTTCAAAATTAAAGCTTCATCAAAAGGAGCAAGAAAGCTTCCAGTTTCCAATATTGCTACGAATACAATGAGTTATATTACAGATAAATAGTCAGTACTCAATCTGATAAGCATTAGTATTAATTTTTGGATATGTATGTCACTGGTCTAACACAAACAGGGACAAAACAGAGAGGGATAAAAACAAGTTTCTAGAATTCCCATCGTCAACACACTAATATGGTGTTTCTTTAATTCTGTGATTCTATTAAAAAATTGTTGACATCTTATTTAGAGAAATTTTTTCTGTGATGGGAAGCTGACCTTTTCGGTTCCTTCCTTTTTTCCATGCAACGCCGGCAACGGTAAAAGCCCGAGTGAGAAGAGCAAGAGAAACGACGGCTATGAGAAGATAGAAGAAAACGTACATCAAGAAGGTTTTGGTATCCAAAGCAGACCGGAAGAGTGAGAGCCACCAGCTTGAATCCTTGAAAACCAAACCCATCTCCATTTTTGGACTTTGGAAGAGAGAAAGCAGAGAG